TTACAGAGAGCGTGGTGTCTCGCTAAGTGGGATGGGGGCGTGGGTGGAATGGGTAGGAGTGGGGGGTTCGGTATACGGCGCCCCTCCCCGGAGTGGGGATAGGTCAGGGATGCGGCGGGGATGCATGGAGGGGGTAAGGACTCAGTCGGTGGTGGGGATACGGGTCCGCGGCGCCGTCAGTGCGCCACGTGCTGCCGTCACGGGAGGGTGTACGTTTCCGCGTTTATAACATTACTCGTATCGGATCGTATATTTTACTGGAGTGTCGTTAAGTAAAAACGCGTGAGCACTCGATCGATCGCAGTGCGAGGATACTTGTTTCTTTTAATCGGTTATGGGACACGTGATGAACGATCGTCGGGTCCCTTGTATCTTCGTTACTAAATTTTCTTATCTTACCGCCGCCGTTCCTCGACGCGAATCGTTCTCTCCGGTGTTGTATGTGGGTTTCACTTTTATGCATTGTGATGAATGGGCGGTTAGGCCAATCCTGTGAATGAAGCCTAAGGAGGCCTCGGTGCGCGCTCTCGGATACTACTGTACTATCGCCAGAAGAGATGCCGAGGATTTTCGTACCCGGTGTCGTGTTAAGTTTCCACTGCTACATCCTTGCCAGTGTCTCCGTCAGAGTTTATGACATTTATCACCGTCAGCCGTCCTCTCACTGACGGATTAATCCGCCTGGAACCACTACTTACGGTGAGTTTTAGCTGTTGCGTATACCTACCTTCCTTTTTTGTACCCGATATACGCGAAAATTTTTTTTTCTCGTTTTTTGAGCAAAAATTTTTTTTTTTCTTTTCCTTCGTCGCATTTTTAGTCTACGACAAATCGATGAGAATAAATTTTTTTTTTTCATACACGCGAAACTACTGTTCAACTTCGGGTACCCCGTGTGTCACGCGTACGCGGTACCAGTCGACGTAGATCAGTGTCGAAGTATATTAATGACAGACGGTCCCGCGGGACCGTGCTCCAGAGTGGACTTTGTTTTTTTTTTCAATTTTCACATCGAGAGTCGCGCGCACCGCGCTCGGCGAGTGCGAATGGGTTATGTAAACAAAAGTGCGGTGTACATAGCAGGTGGGCGAGTCATGCGGTATCTGCGTGAGCGCCGGTGCGACCGTTTAGACGAGAGAATTATAGCCGCCGGTGACAAATACCGGCTGGTCGAGTCTGATCAGTTGACTTGGATTCGATTCACATTACTGTTTTTTTTTGTTTTCGATACCACTTTTTTTCCTTTTCCTCTTTTTTTTTTCATCAAACATTTTCGTACCTCGTGTCATCAATTTCGTACCGGTTATTATTCTCGAGTGTCTATCGTTCGTCTCTCTCTCTCTCGCCGTCCAGTTTCGCGCTCGTATTCTCTCTCTCTCTCTTTCTGTCTCTCTCTCTCTCTCTCTCTCTCTCTCTCTCTCTCTCTCTCTCTCACACCTTTTTTTCCTCTGTCCTCCTTCCTCTTTATTAATCGTTTCGGCTAATCTCCCGGCAATCCACTCCGCTCGCTTTTCGTCGTTACGTGTCACCGGGTCGTTTCCATTGGGCGACCGAACGTTCGTATTGGCATGTAATAAATAGTCGCAAGGTAAGCCTCGCATCGTTTTGCAATGTGG